GTTATAATTATAATATTAAAAAAAAAACAATACATTAATTGACAAATGTTTACGTAAGCATGGGGGGAGGGGGTAAGAGCTTTGCTTACTTCTGCTGACAAGAGGGATGGGGGGGTAAATAACTGTAATAAATCTGCTTACGTAATACTTGAACGGCCCCATAGACATCTTTCCCTGGCCTACCGATAGTACCATCAATCTGGCAACGTCGTCAGAATGAAGCAATTCTGTTGGATAGGTAACCATTTTTGATAAATTATGTTCAGATCTACTTCATTAATATATATTTTTGCAATGGCACCTCATACTACAATCTCAAACGTAATTGTTCAAAAGTTATTGAAAGATATTTATACTTTGTCACAACATATCTAATCTTTTTTTGTGACATAATCCGTTTGTCTCATGTAAGGTAAGAATCATTAAATGTATCGAGACATTTGGATGGTGCTATCGTGTGACAGAGTATTTTTTACTCCACCGTGCTCCCTCAGTACGAATTAGATGTTGATTTGAAATCAAGTTCCCTTTTAGGTTTCTCAATAGAACGCTAAGATCACACCGTAAGTGGAAAGTTTTTCCGAAAACGTGCCCAGGAAAACAAACATCTTCCTCAAATTGTTGACCGTAAAAGTTCCAACAACAAGGTTCCATATTGTGACGAAAACACAGACTGTTTCTAAAACAAGGACAAACATTCGAAAGGTCATTGTTTCGATTATTTTATTCTTTCAGCATTTTTTTTAACAGATTCAACAAAAACGGTCCTTTTATATAGGAAATATTTATACAGGATTAGTAGTATAACAAAATGTAAAAAAGTTAGAAACAACACAACTTTTTCGACTATTTCCTTTTGCTATTTTGCGAAATTTTGAGTTAAAATTTCAACCACTTTCTATTTATCAGTAGACCTGAATTGTAAAAGTTTGCTCAAAATTACAACACTCCTAGTCGGTGTTGCATTTTCTATGTCATTTAGTATATACATATAAAATAAATGGAAGTGGTCCCAGTACTGAGCCTTGTGGCACTCCCTAGGGAATCAAACATTCATGCGAAGAGTCTGTGTCGATATGTCTGATTTTCTCGGGAGTGCCACAAGGCGACCGCTCCTGTTTATCTAATACATATCTGATTTAAAGAGAGATATCGATAATTTTTTACTACACCGTGCTCCCTCAGTACTAATTAGATGTTGATTTGAAATCAAGTTCCCTTTTAGGTTTCTCAATAGAACGCTAAGATCACACCGTAAGTGGAAAGTTTTTCCGAAAACGTGCCCAGGAAAACAAACATCTTCCTCAAATTGTTGACCGTAAAAGTTCCAACAACAAGGTCCCATATTGTGACGAAAACACAGACTGTTTCTAAAACAAGGACAAACATTCGAGGGGTCATTATTTGGATTATTCAAACACTATTTTATTCTTTCAGCATTTGTTTTTATCAGATTCAACAAAATCGGTCCTGTTATATAGGAAATATTTATATAGGATGAGTAATATAACAAAATGTAAGAAATTTAGAAACAACACAGCTTTTTCGACTATTTCCTTTTGCTCTCTAGGATTCTTTAATTACGAATCTAGTTCTGCCAGACAGATCCGTTTGACTTCCGCTTCCTATCCTAACCGTGTCGAACTCCGTATATCCAGGCCTGGCTGATACGACCACTCCTGTGTATACTTTATCTGAAGTCACTTGAAACACTGTGAAATACCGGGTGCGTTTTATATATCTATATTTAACACGCTCTGTTGCTGCAAAAATCGCCGAATTTCGCAGCAAATATCCCCCGTATAAGATCAAAGGCAGTTTCACCGGTCCACGTGGAGTAAAGCACGCCTATGCGTGGACATAGCCAATGAGAAAGCGTGTATTTCAGAGCTCCGAACAAGTGCAGGTGGCTACTGAAAATTGAAACAGTTTAGTCAGTGCCGTTTAGCGGTGAATAAACGTGTTTTCTTTAGTCTGTCCGTGTTTTTTCATAGATTTTATTAGTTTGTGTGTTTTTGACTTTTGAATACTCAGTTTACTTGTTGATTTAATTGTTGTGTTGATTGTTCTTGTGTGTCCTAAATATGGCTCTTTGGAGACCTTGGGAAAATGCTCCAAGCCACGAGGAGATGGTTGATGAACCTGTGCAGGCAGAATTCTTTCATAAAGATTTAGAGGAACAGACCCAAAGAGTAATCCTAAATATGTATGATTGTCTGAAAAACGAAAATCCAGATTCCTCGTAAAATCAAATTTTAAACAGAATTTGTATCCTGACAAAAATCAGTCGGTCTACCATTTATCGGGTTATCAAAAAGGGAGATGTAGTCAACCATTCCTTCCACAGAAAGCGCATAGGGCAAAAATTAAAAAGAATAGACGTGGGTTTTCAGGAAGATATTCGTCGTATAATATACGGATTTTATAAAGAAAATTTGGTGCCCACGTTGGAAATGATACGGGATAAATTAAAAGATTATCCTGAAGATTTTTATAATTACAAATGCTTAGACTCACTGCACTGTAAAACTGTGTGGTTTTCAATACAAAAAATTAGATAAAAGAATGGTGATTATGGAGTCGTCTCGAATCGTTGAATTGCGCCAAGAATTTTTGCACAAAGTTAAAATCTAGCAGAAAAGAAATCTGATTTACCTGGATGAATCGTCGTATGATACCCATGATGTTGTGCAGTACGGCTGGGTTGACGACAGCAACAAGTGCATTTTAAATGCACCATGCAACCGTGGAAAACGAATCATTATTCTCCATGCTGGCAGTGAAAATGGATTTATACCTAATGCCTTGCTGTTATCTGCCAAAAATATCAAAGAATCATGTGCCGACTATCATGAGGACATGACCTCCGACTTATTTGAAAAGTGGATAGAGCAGCAGTTAATACCAAACATTTCCCCAAATTCAGTGATTATTATGGACAATGCGCCATACCATTCCCGACAGAAAAACAAAATTCCGAATACAGGCACAAAAAAACAAGACATTATTGATTTTATGAAGGATAAGCGAATGGAAATACCACAAAAATCAACCAAAGCCATGCTTCAGCAAAATGGCCATGAAGTATTACGTCTACCTCCCTATTACTGCATTTTTAACCCGATTGATTTGGTCTGGGCTGCTTTAAAAAAAAAAGTAAGAAAACATAATCAGACCCCTCAATTAAGTGAATCGCTATTGGCCACAATAAGAGATGCAGTATCTCATATTGCTGCCACAGACCTATGGAAGCAGTGTTCTAGGCATATTATTGAAAAAGAAAATGAATATTGTGTTTTGCCTCCTGTAAATCCCGTTGTAATTCCTCTACAAGATGACTCTAGCGACAGCTCCGAAGGCGAGGATGATATATAAATACCTATAATGTAAGTCTTTATATACCTTTTTATATACCTACCTGCTATGTAAATATTTGCCTATGTCAAACGTTGGAATTCTGTAATTTTTCCATTTCTTAACTTTCAGTCAACATAAATTAAACTCCCAATATAAGTATTTTTTATCCCAAATCAAAAAAATAAGAATATACGTATAGTAAAATCCATTTATTGCGATATAAAAACATTAGTATTATCGTTCTAAATAAATGACCGCACGCCTGTGATACGTCATGAAATTACAAAGGACGCGCCGACCAAAGGTTTTTATGCTATTTCAAGTGACTTCAGATAAAGAATACTTAGGGTGTCGAGATTGTGCAACAATCTACAAGAGGATTCGTTTTCCAGTTCTACTAACAGAATGCAGTTCAAAAATCGGTGTAAAAAAAGCTTGACTACTACATGAAGTAGTCGCGCGTTTATCATATCGATAAACGATTTGTTATCATTGATCTGGTCAACGCACGTCATAATACATTTCATGAAATGCGACCTTTTTTTATGAAACGATGTGGCCCCGGTATGCATACCGATAAGTTAAGTAATCCCTTTGAAAGGCTTTATACTGATGGCCTAGATGCAATATATGTTTCCTTTTTAAAGTCGATATCGTTTGAATTACCATAAGCGTAACTTCTATTCATAAGCTATCCGTTTTATTATAATACCTGATTGTCATACACAGTATTTTTCGTCACTGTATTTATTATAATTTGAATTCATTAATCCAGTACAAATCATTAATAATGGCAACCTGTTGCAAATAATGAACTGCGGTAGGTGCAAGTATTACGAAACTGTTACAAAATATCAATTTTGATAATGACCTTGCTATTTTTTTACCAGTCACGGTTCTTATACAAGTTATCCTTGTTTGTTGAAGAAAGCTCGACATCTGGCCAGTCACCATAAACAAATTGTTTTTTATTGTTTAGAATGATTACAACAACTATAACATATATTCTGCATTAGTTCTGATAATCGAGAATGTTTTTCAAATATTAACAAAGGTTCAAAGGTAACACGTCAAGAGAATCCGGACAGCCCAGCCCATTCACCATTTTTAACATAACTTCAGGATGAAGAATAAATTCATAGATACAATTTTTATTAACACGTTCGCTGCTCATAATTTTTTTAAAGACCACCGGTGGTACTGAGACTGACAAAACTACTGTTTGTAAATGTTTTTGTTATTACGTGATACTAGTTCAATATAATTCTTGTTTATGTAGTTTTTCAAAGTTTCTTGCAAAAAAAAACATGACGCACATGTGGCGGCTTGAGCACTCGGCCATGGTTTTTAACCGCCCAGTGCTCACCGACGCCTATATGGCGTCGTTAAGGACTGTTTATAAAATCTTTTTATTAAGTTTTAATGATATTATTATAAAATCGTCACAAAAAGAAACAACAAATGAAACATTATCCCTATGCAACTACAAAAGTTACAATTCATAAACGTAATAAAATAAAAAAATATAGGTCCATTGTTCAACTAGAATAATAAAAAAAATGTTTGAAAACTAAATAGGTACATATTTAAATAAAAGGGAACTAAGTATTAACAAATATATTATTCAAAATATGTATCTGATTTTACAGATTATTATGATATTCCTTAAAGCAAGGATCTAAACACAGTCCGGGTAGTTCCGGGCAACTCTTACAACAAAAGCTTGTATCTTTACGAACTCCACGTTTTGAACACCATCGACATTTTTTGCGCAGTCTTCTATCACCTGTGCCTTTTTCTAGTTTGGATGGACCATGTTGAAACCCTGGGTTTTCTGTGGATGGACCTGGCTTCTCTTTGGCTTTAATTTCTGGTACCATTGCATGAACTACTGATTCACGGTACTCTAGGAACGACATCTTTGGTTTAGAATATTTTTCGTATAACATATAGGAATTATATAACATGGTCTCTATAATATGAATTCCTACTTTTTTGTACCATCGTATGGTTTTACGATGGGAAGGATAGTAGGACTGCAATTGATCTTGTAAGTCTATACCCGACATATATTTGTTGTATTGCATGATTGGGGCTGGTTTAATTTTATTGGTGCCAAATCTAGACAAAGCTTCTTCCATTGTATTTTCATGCTCCGTAGTAATATAGAGTACCTCCCGTTTATCCTTCCATTTACCTACACACACACTTCCTCCATATCGATGAACGGATTCGCCAGGCTTTAGTTTCGCCTTACTTACATCTTCTGGAGTTTCCTTTCTTCCCGCCCGCAAAGTACCCGTGCAGTACGTATTTTTCTCTAACAGTTGTCTGGCAAGGGTTACAGAATTGTAATAATTATCCATGTATAGGCTGTATCCCTTATTCCAGTAATTTCTCATAAGATGCAGGACCACATTAGCAGCATGTCCTTTACCACCTAAATCATCAAGTACCCCAGTATATATTTGCATATTTAAAACAATGCCATTTGACTCGGTGAGCAAATAAAATTTAATGCCGTACTTGTGTTTTTTATTTTTTATGTATTGTCGGAACGCAAGGCGACCGCGCCATAAAAGCATCGATTCATCTATTGAAAGGTTCTTGCCTGGGGAATAAACCGATTCCATTTTATTGTTGAAAAAGTTGAGCAATGGCCGAACTTTGTATAGCCTGCCACTTTTCAAATCTTGAGAATTTTCTACAAAGTGTAAGCACCGCAAAATAATTAAGTATCGGTCTCTGCTCATATATTTTCTGATGGGCAAATTGAGAAAACGATTGGTACGCCAGTAGTCTCGCAATCTAGGTAATTGAAGAATTCCCATAAAAATTGTCAACCCCAAGAACATAGTCATTTCTTCTTTGTCTATAGGTTTCCATCGACTAATCCTAGAGTTGGGTCCAGACGATTCGTTTAGTAGCACGTGTTCTGCGTAAATATTCGTTTGTTGCACTAAAATTTCAAAGAACTCGTCATCAGCCAGGAGTAAAAAAAAATCAATAGGTTTCCCTTCACCAGGTATTGGTACATTTAATTGTTGCTTTCCAGTAAACTCAATTTGCCTAAGATTTGGGGGGTATTCTATCCATACTAACTGTTGTTCATTTGCCACATCATCCAACAGCTCCATATCGCTTTGAGAGGCAGTAGACATTGCATCTTGGCGTTCGTCGGATATTCCAGATGCGCCACTCCAGTCGCTGCCTGAGTCCGGAAATGGCTCTTCATCACTCGAGCTTGATAAGTATGCTAATGCACGCAGTTCATCTTCAGTAAGAACTTTGGGATTCTTAATTCTAAGCCGCTTCGGTGCCGAAGGGCCTGGAGTTGGACTCTCGGCCATTACAAAAAAAATGAAACGAAAACTCGAACCACACAGCAAAACTCTTGAATAAAACCCTTAAGAACGTGCTCCCACGAAATCATAAGCCTAACTGCCGTGCGCATCGATTGTCATGTAGGTATATGAGAATAAACACCAGGCCGCCACCTGTGCGTCGAGAGCACTCAGATAATGATTGCTCGGACGCCACATGTGCGTCGTGAGCAGCGAACGTGTTAAGTATGGTTTTTCATAAATCTAGGTATTTCCATCTATTTTTAGACTTTAAAAATCCCCGGTGATTTTTTTGCGCCTTATTTTTTTATTGTGTATCAATGTATGTATACTAAGTGACATATAAATCCGAACACCCAGTTTAAATGGTTTTATTTTAATAAAATTTTGTATAAGTACTTAATGAAGCATAATAAGTAAATGATAAAAATTTCAAAATGATTGCAGTGCTTTAAAGCCCTTTGACCTTTAATAATGTGTGGATGCACCCTGATGTGCTACGCATTCTCCAACGCGCCTACACATGCTTCTGATCAGGTGGTCAATGTCCTCCTGTTGTATCTCATTCCAGGCAACCACCAACCCCTCTCGAAGGGCTTCTAGAGTCTGAGGAGGACGTTGCAAATTGAGCAATCTCCTACCCATCATATCCCACACGTGCTCAATTGGGGATAAGTCGGGAGATCTTGATGGCCATGGTAACAATGTGACATCATTATGTTGAAAGAAGTCTATTGTGACTCTTGCAACATGCGGTCGGGCATTATCTTGTTGGAAAGTTGGATCTGCCAGGGTGTCAAGATAGGGTAAAAGATGGGGTTCTAGAACTTCGTGGATATAACGCTGCGCGTTCATGTTACCTCTGATGAAGATTAAAGGTGACCTGGAACCATAAGCTATAGCACCCCAAACCATAACTCCAACAGTGTGATGAACATGTCTTTCAACAAAAAACTGTGGATTCCTCCTTTCACCACGTCGCCTTCTAAAACTGGCACGACCATCGTGCATGCCTAAACAAAATCGAGACTCGTCACTAAAGACAATACTGTTCCATTCCTGATCCCAGAGTGACCGTTGTCTGCACCACTCAAGGCGATTACGTTGGTGTTCTCGAGTTAAAGGGAGGACCCAGTGTGGCCGGTATGAAAAGAAGCCAAAACTTCTATTCGTCGGTAAACACTTCTCATGCCAATAGGTCTTCCGTGTTCTGCAAACCATTCATTTGCAATGGACCTGGTAGTGGAGAAACGGTCCCTTAAGGCCAATAATCTTAGGCGGCGATCTTCACGGTTTGTTGTTCTACGGCGGCGTCCAGTGCCCCTTGCTCTTTGCGTACGACCTTCTCGAAGCCATGCCTGACAACTCATAACCACAGTGTCTACACTTCTTTGCACTCTAATTGCAATTGCCCGAAAAGAAAGTCCAGCTTCCCGAAGTCCCACGATACGGCCCCCTATCAAACTCACTAAGTTGACGAAATCGTACAGGTCTCCGTACTCTAGGCATCGTAACCGATCGTAAAGGATGTCAAGAACCAAAATCCGCCAACGTTGATTCTTCACTGCGGCTGAAATATCATTTTTAGAGCGTTAGTGAATTAAAAAAAGCAGTATAAAAATCGGAATGTCCAACTGATAAGGCTGAAAATTTTTTCACTTGTTATTTACAGTAAGATAAATACATTCACCAACTTTTATTAAAATAAAACCATTTAAACTGGGTGTTCGGATTTATATGTCACTTAGTATATGTATGTGTGAGACAAACTGAATTTTGAACCAGTTAACCTTAACCGATTGAGCTCAAATTTGAAATTTTGTACACGTATTCGTCATTCCAAATCCAATATATGGACGGTTTATAATTTCCCTAGTCATTCATACAGTATGGGAATCAACTGAAAGGGCGTCGTGATGAGGGAGACATAATAAGCAAAGTGACGTCATTCTAATCTAATATGGCGGCTGCCGTTTAATGGCTATTTATATCCATGGTCACCGCTTAATAAGAGAGACACGCTATATATGAATATATAAAACATTTACATAAACGCATAATGAAAGTTAAATACTAGACATACTAAGAAAATGGTTTTAGTAGCGACTTGTTCTATAACTTCCGAAGTAACACTGATTTGTGGAACGTTGCTAGGAGTGGTGACTATATCTGGCCATAACTTTTTCCAAGACGATTTAATAGTTGATGACGGTAACGCATTCCACGACTGACAAAGAGCAAAAACCAAGTCTTTCATATTAAATTCTTTTAAAGTTTTTTCTATTGGTTGGTCTTTTGATACGGCTCTCAGAAGCAGGTTTTTCTTATAGTCTTGCTTGACAAACTGAATGATATTCTGGTCCATTGGTTGAATCAGTGCAGTGCAATTTGGCGGAAGAAAACATCGCATTGATGCATTTATCCTCAGTTGTTAGTTCTTCTTCAGACGGATGACAGGGAGCGTTATCAAGAAGCAACAAGGCTTTTTGAAGAAAATTATGATCTTTTAACCATTTTCTTCAGGTACGAAGCATTCATCAAACCACTTTCTGAAAAGGTCTTTTGTCATCCATGCACTTTTTTATCCGTAATAGTGTTCAGGTAAATCAATGTTTTTGAATACCCGTGGTTTATTAGATTTCCCAATGACCATCATCTTAAGCGCATGTGTGCCCGCAGCGTTAGCACATGGTAGTATGATTACACGCTCTTACTTACTTTTCGTCCAGGTACGGATTTTTCGTTACAAGAAACGAAAGTTTCGTTAGGCATCACACGCCAAAAAAGCCCTGATTCGTCTGCATTACACACCTGTGACGGGTCAAGATTTAAATCGTTCACCTTTTGCAAAAATCTTAATTTAAAGGGCTCTATGCAGGTGGCATCGTTAGAAAGTTTCTCTTCTGTAATAGTCATTAAACGTATGCCATGACGACTTTTAAAACATTCTCGCCATCCTTTGCTGGCCACAAAATCATCTTTTTTTTGTTATTTCCTTATAAAAAACTTAGCTTTCATGGCCGACATGGGTCCTGAAATTGGTGCATGCCTATTTCTTTCCTGAAGAAACCACATGTACAAAGCTTCTTCCACTTCTGGATGTTCAGCTTTCTTGAGTGTCTATCTCTGCCTGGCCCGCAGTCAGTAGTTGACACGTACTTCTTGATCTTCTCGTGGTTGTTTTTAATGTCATAAATTGTACATCGGCCTACGCCGTATTCACTTGCTAAACTACTGAAAGTTTCATTGCGATTTAAGCGGTCTAAAATATCACATTTTTCTTTAATTGTCATTACTAGAGTACTATACTTAATACACAATGAATAAATAGTAAACAATGAACGCACGCTAGGCCGTACTGTTATCACCAGTAGTCAAATTCAAACTATGTAAAACAATGCTTACGCGTCGAGCACGATAGCGGTGGCGCGTACAAGTTGTAACCTGTTCAAACCTGCGTGATCTACATTAGCGAAGATTGTCAAATACGTATGTATGTAATACATATTCAAAGACATGTCGGATTACAGGGGGCGCCGGATTAGACGGGGGCCGGATTGTCGGGGGTCCACTGTATAGTTAATACAGCTCTCTAACAATAGAAGGTTCTCGTATTTCTAGTTCTCAAACAAGGCACACAGAAATCAATACTAGATAAAATTACGCTGGCGTGTATGGCTACTATGCCACCGCTTTGTCATAGTCATGAAAAATTGTTGTGATTAAAAAGTGGGGGTAAGGGAATAAGGGAAGGTGATATTAAATGTTGCATCTTTGATATGTGAAACTCGTTCTGATCCCAGTAATTACAGGAAATTTAAGTGCTCAGTGCCTGCGTTGTACATTTGACACCGAGAGCCAACAGAACTGCAACTGCCGACAGTAGGAAAAAATAAATTCGGATATTTGTAATGAGGATTATTAGGGTTAGATCGTTAATATAATCCGACTCTGTTATTATGGCAATTACCGCCGACGACCGTCTAAGACCAGCCCATTGAAAATTCCTTTTCATCCCCCGTTACCTCAGGAGATGGTTCTCGTAATCGTGGGAGCTGAGTTGAAGCTCTGGGCGTTGGTGCAAGTTGATTCGACACATTTTGAGCGACCCTTGTATTAACAGCGGTTGCAGGCAAATAAAAGGTCTAACCTTACAGCACAACCAGGTTTGGCCAGGTGGTCGGTGCCCGTATTCTTACCGTACACCCCCTTTCCACCCCCTGAAGATTGGCAGGGTGGTACGGAAGGTGCTACAATCATGCGTAAGCAGTGAATAGAAAAAACGGAATACAAAGCTCGGCTGGCAGTCGCAGTCAGCCAGATGCTATACCTGCGAGTTGACATGTTCTCAGGTACCTCTCGGACAAAAAATCGACATCTGCCCCTGAATATGTCGTGGCGCTGAAGTAGTGGTGCGTTTTGGAGAGGATTATAGGAAGAAAATACAAGAGGTATAAATATACTAAGTGACATATATAATGCAGAACTATTTATATACACAATACACCGAGAAGACATCCATTACCGAATCCAGTCAATTAAGGTGGGATATCTCAGCTATTTTGCGAAATTTCGAGTTAAAATTTCAACCACTTTCTATTTATCAGTAGACCTGAATTGTAAAAGTTTGCTCAAAATTACAACACTCCTAGTCGGTGTTGCATTTTCTATGTCATTTAGTATATACATATAAAATAAATGGAAGTGGTCCCAGTACTGAGCCTTGTGGCACTCCCTAGGGAATCAAACATTCATGCGAAGAGTCTGTGTCGATATGTCTGATTTTCTCGGGAGTGCCACAAGGCGACCGCTCCTGTTATCTACAGTATATTCAGATAAGGGATAGACCGGACATAAACAAGACCACGTGATCATCGAACGCTGTAACATTCGGCAGGGACGTATTAAGAGTCACGCAGTACATATTTTAGATAGTAGATGCTGCTTTGCGTAACTTTGTAGTAAATTAGCACAATTCGATGTGTATCCGATTGGTGATGGATATA